CACCAATGAAATTTTAGCCTCCCCCCATCCCTATCAGTTCATAAAATAAATAATGTATTAGACAATATGTGACTGACTGAACAAAAAAAGCCTTCCAGGGAATATATTGGATTGGATATAGTCAAATCAAAATTAGTAATATTTCAGAGGGTTTTTTTTTTCCTATTAAACCCAACAAACCCTACTTTTGAGTTTAGGAGCAGGACAGATTCTGAGGAGTTAGAAAATTAAAGTTCCTTGTTGATGGATAAAACACACACACACACACACATACACACAAGTCCATGGATTATCCTCAAAACTTCTTTGTATATCCAATACCTACAACCTTTAAAAAGAATCTGCATTGGTTGTTCTGCAATGGTAGTTAGACATTATAGCTGATTAAATATTTTCATTTTAAAAAAGGCACTTGAGAGGGATTAAATCCAAAGAGATATTAGTGATTCTGAGGTTTCTCTCTCTGTCTCTGTCTCTCTCTCTATCTTTATATATATCTGTGTGTGTGTGTGTGTGTCTATGCATATGTATATGTACAAATGACTAAGAATTTATAGAATTGGAATTTCATTGAATTTTTAAAAATACAATAACCCAAGTTCAAATATACTAAGATATTCTGAATTGCTCACACAGTTATTACAACTTCAAAATCTCCTTATCTGGGAGTGACCTCTAATAGAATGGAAGGAAGGTTCATCTACCAGGATGAAGTATAAATTCTTGGCTTTGGGTTTTGTTTTTTAAAGGATAGTTTACTTTCACTTTAAAGCTATTTTGTAATGTGGCACAAGAATAAATTTAAGTAGCTTTCCCCCTTTTTAATTAAAGAAACTGTAGGGAAACAGTTTTTTAATACAGCATATTAACCAACATAAATTATTTGGTGGAAGGGCACATTTGAAAACCATATTAAGTTTCTGCTTCGCTGTAGGGGAAATTTTTCACCTTGTCCTGGGCGGGTGAAATTATTTGGACAGAAGAGGGGCCTCATGGAGAGTATCGTTTTTAATCTCACCCTCTTCCTTTCTCCCCAAAGTCACCTTTGAATGTTTCATAATTTCCCAGAATATATTTCAAGTAATAAGCCTTTTTTTCCCTGTTTAAACTAGAGGTAATTGGCTAATGTTGTATTAAATTACCCAGATAACTTCAGCTTTAGTATATCTTGTGTGTTTCTGTCTTATTTTGATATAAAGAGTCTATTGACTCCATCACATTTTCACCACTGATTTCCCAGTAAGAACAGCCCTTCCTATCCTTCAAAGGCCACTAAAAATATACAGGATCCCCCCTGGCACCTTCTCCCAAGACATATGAAGATATAATGACATTGAACAATAATATGTCTCTTGCTGGTGCCCACATTAAAAAACAAAAACAAAATACACACTGAGTTCAGCAAGATTTCATCCTGAAGATGTGGGTCATTCATGAACATTAAAGGCTCTCCAACCTTCATCTAGTAGGTGAATTCCCACAAATTTCCAAAGGCCTTCTTTTTATGATAATTAGTTTAATCAACCTCAGTTTCTGTCTAGGTTTAATTCTTCTTTTATTTATCTATTCCCCTTTATATTCCTTAGGCCACAATTCTCTCCGTGTGTGTGTGTGTGTGTGTGTGTGTGTGTGTGTGTGTGTGTGTAGATCTTGCTGAATTTAGAGAAGATATTGCATCAGAATGTGTGCTGAGACTTTCCTTACAAAGTTTGCCCATAAACTCCAAAAGTAATAATCTTAATTGTTTCCATGTTATAATTCCCAGCACACCACTATATTCTTTGGCTTCAGTAAGTCTATCTCAAGTGGTTTTTTTAAAAAAGAAAGAGACACATTATAAATGAAGCTTGGGCGTCTGGTTACTGAGAATACCCTTTAAACAATATCTTTCATTGAATATTCAAATGTTTCGCTCAGCCACCTTCCAAACTGTCCTTTCTACCCCCCTACCCAAAAAGTTTTGTCAACGGCGCTTGTATTTTTACCATCGTCCAGTAGACGGCGTAAATGCTCAAGCCTTCAAATAAACACGCGAGCCACCAGGTTTGGTTTTAAACAATGAAGGCAGCAGCATTTTAATTCCAAAAAAGTACTGTTTTTTATTCATACCATTGTTATTAGAAGAGTCCATTAATATTATTTATGACACTATTTGGAACTATCAATATTGTACATAAAGTAGAGGGGATGCTCCAACCAGCACCTATTATAAACTAGATGAATATTCAGTCATATTCAGCCCTCCGATTAAAGTTAAAGCAAACTCTTCCCCAAGACCTCCGAAAAGGAGAACTTCATAAGATGAATTGGTTTGTAACTGTGTAATATTATCGCCCTATTATGCGCAAATGGGATTTTCTGTTGCAAAAAAAAAAAAAAGTAAATGCTGTCCCTGAAATTTAAATATACCAAGGTGGTGGTCAACATTCAGATAATCCCCCCCCCCAAAATCATAACGGCTTTCTACAATTCTGTTTGAACTGCGTAGGTGCGGGGTGGGGAGGGTGGGGAGAGAGACTAATAGGGCTTTTTCTATATGTATAAATCAGGAAACTTAATATCTGTGCTTCCTCTCCACTTTCTCTGAAGTGCAACTTTCAATCACATTTCACACTTTTCAAAAGCTAAAGGAAAACAACAATCACAAACAACTTGCAATCTCTCCAATTTGACTTCACACTCTCTAGTGGTTGCCTAGTCTCCTCACCCCACCCCAAGTGACAAACGTCCAGGCCAGTAATAATAGTAACTCATTCCTCGGGGGGGGGGGTTTGGGGGGGAGGGGGGTGGAAGGGGGAAGAGAAGGAGGTTGTTGTTTAAGGGTAAATGATACCGGTAGCTTTCAAAAAGTTTTTAGGTGAGGGTAATTTTTTTTTTTTTTAGAAATGTTTTATGAAGTTCTCCATTAATTATTAAAAGGCGGTCTGTAACTTCTGAAAAATGGCAGACCTGGTAATTAAACCGAACAGCTTTGTTGCTTTCTTTCTCTTTGGTCATCTTCCTCCCTCCCCCCCCCCCGCAGTCCGTCTGTACCCCCCCCCCCATACACACACACACACTGCTTGCCTTCTCCATCATTCAGGCTCTTTCCCACCTTCCCCGCTGCATTCGCTCCCTTGAGGCGGGTGGAGCAGATTCAGACATTTTAAAGTCTTGGAAAGAAAACGTTCTTTCGCAAAGTGTTGCAAAAAAAAAAAAGTATCTTTTCGGATCCCCGCTTCTTCACTCGGAGTGTTTACTAAATACAGTGTGGCTTGAGCATTTCGCCTCCCTCACTGGCCCGAATGGCCTGCCTGACCTCTGATTGACTCCTGAACCGGACCAGGGCTCTTTGTTTTCCCAAGTCGGAATCCAGTAAACAAACCATATCTAACTCTCCGAGTCCCGTCTTGGCTTCGCAAACGGCCACTCGCTTCATCTTCACTGAATCTCCCCCCACCCCACCCCCGCCGAACCCCCTTTCTTTTTCACCTCAAGTTTTGCCCTCTAATGGATCCTTAAATAGTTTTTTCTCTTTCGCGCTGCCATTCATTCAAAAGAGTTTTCTGGCTTTGCTTTTTTTTTTCCCTCTCCCCCCCCCCCGCCTTTGCTACTATCACTCCAAGTCTTATCTCAGCATTCCTTCATTATCTTTATGCCCTGTTTAAAATCTGCTTTCTTCTGTTTGCTTTTCCACGTTTCGTGCCCTAAAATCTAAACACCGAAGGGTCGGAGAAACGGAGCGGAGAGCCCGCGAGGGGCAAAAAAAAAAAAAAGCCACTGGGCTACGGGGTGGGGTGGAGGGGGGGGTCGTGCGGTCCCAGCGGGCCACCCCATCCTTAGAGAAGCACGTTTTGGGTCCCATTCGAGGTCATGGATGGTCGTATGAAAACGACAGCTTTTAGGGAAGTCACGGGGCGCCCACCGTCGGGCTCTATCCTGAGTTTTCGGAAATGAGGGCGAGTCCCCCAGAGTAAATCGCCTCAGGCTGTTGCCTCCGACAGAAGCAGCCCTAATCCGAGGCAGACACTCACTGGGAGCAAACCCAGTTGCCCTCCTTTTGAAAACCTCTTCTCTGCCGCCACCACCACTCCCCCCCCCCTCAGCATCTCGGGATTGAAGTCTCCGCGGGACAACGGGCCTTCTCTTTCCCCGAGGGAGGCCCGCGGAGTGTCGGCAGACTCCGAAGAAGCCCCCCTGTGTGCCAGCGCCTGGAAAGGAGGCTTCGGCCGGGATCAACTTGCTCGCCTCGAAATGGCCGCGAATCTTTTCAGCCCTTTCCCACGTGCCAGGAAGGGAGAAGAGACAGGGGGGGGTGATGTGACCCGTGTTTCACTCGGGGGGGGGGGGGAAATGTCCTCCGAAAGAGGCATTCCGTGAATCCGGGCCTCAGGTTTAGGTTTGGGGTTGGATGGGGTCACCCGGCAGGGTGAGCGGGAGGCCGAGGGGGTCCTAGCTGCGTTTCCTAAAAAGGCCATCTAGTCGAAAAGCTTGGGTCGCGGGGGGGGGGGTAAAGTAAAAAGGTCCCAGAATTGTCTCCGGGAGGTTATGGAGCTAGCACGGAGCTGCCCGTTTCTTTCCCGCCCTTTTAATAGATGATTAATTGCTTGCCCGGCTTAGTCTTTTTATGGCCGGTATATTGCAACTCGAGACGGCTACGGCGCAATGGCTCACAGCAAGCCTCGGCAGTGGGGACTGTTTGCTAATTGTAAAAAAAAAAAAAAAAAGGAAAAAAAACACCACCCTTATCCAGAAGGAGCTTTGTGCAAACAATTTGTCGTCCTACTGTAATTACACTATAAAAGTGCTTTCACCTCAATTGGGTCGCTTTCCTCTGTTAGAGGCCTGTGGGAGCTTTGATAGGGTAGGGGAGCAATAGCACTTCACCTCTGTCTTGGGCAGAAGGAGGAGGACAGGCT